TTGCCATGGTGCCTAATCCAGATGATCCGACTTGCCCGATGTTCCCAAAGTATTTGGAATGGGTTCTATGCAACCAAAATGATCTTGGTTTTTGGTTTGACGAGCAACATGAACTTCAGCTTGATCATCATGAGCTTATAAATTATAAGCATCAATGGAGCGGCGAAGATCTTTTGGCCACTCTTGTTTGCTTAATTGCTCTGAAGACTTGGGAGATCACTGGTTTCTCGTACAAAATAAACAAAGGTACAAGATCTATGTATTAGTAATATTTTCTATTTATTTAGACATATTAATTAATTTATTTATTATAATTATGTGTATGTACATAGGAATAAAATTTCTTCAAGACAACTTGGAGAATGAATTGATGAATATGAGAAAGAGCATAGAGGGTGGTGATGAAGATGGGCTTGCTCTTCTTCATAGGTGGTTTTTGATGGTTGAACTTGCGAGGGCAAAAGGCTTGAAAGTCTTTCCTGATCAACAGATCACTAATGAAATTTTTCATGAATTTAAATTGAAAGGAACAAAGCTTAAAAGAGAAGAGAATGATGAGATAATTACAGAGGAGAGGGTTGTGATGAGAGAGATCGCATTTGAAAACTCCAACTCATCCCTACTCTTTCAATCACCGTCGACAGCCGCTTGTACTTACAATGAATTAAACCGGAGACCAAAAGTTACAAACTTAACCTTCAGCACTTGCTTACCATTGCCGAACGTCGTGGGTACATCATTTCAAATGTATGAGCTTAATCCTTACAAAGAGAGAAGTTAGTTTAATAATTTTAGAAACTCATTTTAATTGAAATATGTGGCCAAAATTTTCTCCTCAATTATCCCAATGTTTGGAAGATGAAGTTAAGTATAATGGCTTTTTTTTTTATTGGACGAGTATTAATTATTTGTTGCAATAATTGAGGTCATTATCTTTATCACTATTAACTTTATTTGAACTATCTGTGGGTTGTTTCAAGGAATATATCATTTTTTTGTTTCTATTTAAAATAGTCTTAGATAATTAAAATATTTTTGGAGGATTCATCTTATCATTTATAAATAGATATATTCAAAAATTATATTTTTTTTATGTCCACTTGTTTTATATAAAAAATTCATCATTACTTAGAAATTGAAAAAA